CCAATAGTGCCGCGCCAAACTAACACAATGTCCCCTCAGTACGAGAAGGGGCGCCGGTGATACTTTTCGCCCTCCTCTGGCTTGCCTTCCTCCGGCTTATCGACCACATCGTCATCCAGAAACCAAGAAGGATCTCCATCCTTAAGAACTGTGCTCCAACCGTTGCCCAACCACCGGAGGTGGTTGCCTGTTGGGTCTGCGCTCTCAAACATATAATCTTCCCATCGAGGCGACCTCAGAACCTCAAGGCACTGCGCCGAGGATCCTGGCCAGAGTGCCACAATGCGCGCACCTTTCTTACCCTGCCTATACCAGGACGAGCAATCGTCGGTGTACACCGTGTTCTTGAAGTACTCATCGATATATTGGCTAAAGTCGGCCACCCGTTCTGGCTTGACCTCGATAGTCGCATAGTCCTCCTTCTGCATCTTGCGGATCGCCTTGACGACGTAGTCACCCTGCGCCTCAAATACGCTGACTAGACTGCCCGAGCCCAGCCCACTGCCAGGACCTCCAACGATGAGGAAGTTTGGGAACTGGTCCACAGCAATCGCTATGTACGACTCGATCTGCGGCTTCCACCTGTTAGCTAGCGTGATGCCATTACGCCCGATAACCTCGAACATGGGTGGCGCCTCAACGTCGTAGCCCGTCGCGCAGACGATAACATCAAGCTCAACCTCTTCACCAGAGGTGAGCTTGATACCCTTGGTGGTGATCTCGCCGATCGGCGTGCTGATGAACTCAACATTGTCCTTCTTAAGAGCCTCGAGATATCCAGGTCCAGGGGTCAAGCGGCGATACCTGGCAGCGAACTTGGGAAGCATGGTCGTGAAGATGTCTCCACGTCCGTCCAGCTTCTCGCGCATCTTCTGCTCGAAGAACTTTGTGGCATGAATCTGTTCCTCGGTCCCTCTGAGCGTAATTGGATAGAGCTTGGCGTTTTCATCCTCGAGGGTCTTGCGGAACTTGAATAACTTTCTAGGGTTCCTTGCTATAGCTTCCTGATGCTGTCGAGAGACTATTAAAGCCCATCCACTCCGGTTAGCATTCTGTAGCGTGTTGTTATGACGGGGAACTTGGCAATACATACACTTTGTGTTGGTAGGGTCCATTCCCAACTTAACCATTGCCATATCTCCAAATGCAGCGGTGATCCAGGTAGGGGATCGCGCAAATGTCCACAGCTTCAAGCCTTCCAAGGGCTGGATAGCGGGCACAATCTGGATGGCACTCGATCCATTGCCAATAACACCGACTCGTTTGTTACGCAGATTATAGCTTCACTGTTGTCAGCTAATTTAGTCCCTTGCCAATGAACAGCTGTTTCTTGCTGACCTTTCATCCCAAGCTCCAGAGTGGATAAGCTTCCCGTCAAAGCTCTTCAAGCCTTTGATGTCAGGCCAAGCAATCTGGTTGAGGCCGCCTCGCGCAGAGATGACGATGTCTGCCGTGTGTTCGAATGTTTCGCCAGTAATGCGGTTAGTCACGACGATTTGCCTGTTGACTGTTAGTTAAAATAATTGTGGCATTGCCAGTGCCTATCTTGGAGCCAGATGTCTTTCTACCATAACTTTCTCTCAACGTCCCAAGTCGTCGTCTCTACTTTATGGGAGGTCTTGATAAACCGGGTAGCTCCGTATCGCCCTGCCACATCCTGTAGGTATTTCCGAATTTCCGGGCCTGGGGCATAAAGCGAAGACCAGTAAGGGTTGGGTGCGAAGCTGTACTGGTAGCAGTACGCTAATACAGTCATGGATTAATCAGTCATCGCAGTCTCAAGAAATCCGTGACCATCTTTAGGGTTACTCACAAGGAATGTCACAGGCAAGGCCGGGGTATCGGTTCAACCACCTGCAGCAATGGAATGAGGCTCGAATGTGCCATAATCTCGGCGACGCAAATATGAATCTTACCAAACACCCGCAATCTCCTCGTTCATTTCATAAACAGTGAGATCAATATTCCTAAGTCTCTGGGAGATCCTGGGGGCATCTTGTCAGTCTTCACCAGCCCAAATTGTTGAAACTCCTGCAGATTGTAAAAGATAGGACCGACCTGATCGTGGTGTAAATCCCAGAGAAGCCTGCTCCAATAATAACAACTTTCATGGGCTTGTGGTTCTCCACTGGTGCGTCTTTCAGGGTGAAGGGTACAGCCCTGTTGGTGTTGAGAATCGACCCCATATTTGAGTATGTCTCAGATAATTCTGTTTAGTAGAGGGAGTTTAAGCTGCTCTAGAGGGTTGCGTCGGGGTTATAGAGATTCAAATAATGAGCGATGAGATGAGGTGCAACTATTGACGCGTCCACATCTCTCTTAAGAAACGTCAAGGTGAAATTGTACCGCAGGTGAACTGTGTGCTGCATGCATGTGTGCGTACCGTGCCGAGGGGAATAACATCGGCCTGGGAAGTCCAAGAGATTTCCAAGGCAGAACAAGGTCCTATGGCCCGAGGCATGATGATCCATCGGCGACAGACGGATCTTCTGATCAAATGGACATCGCCTCTTTACTCCCTTCTAATCTGGCACTGCTTATTGGACCCGCCTCGATGGGGACCAGGCTAACAGAGGGATAATTTCCTCCAGCAACCCCGCAGCCCCCCAGATTTCTCAAGAGGAGTGTGGAACCGGATCAAGATGGTAGCTGGGTTGGAGAGCGGGGTTACAGGGATCCATCCTTACCTCTCGAACCGAGGACCCGGTGGAGGGACCATCCCGAGGGCCTATACCGAGGAATGGCCGTTCCAAGAGATGGACTCCCTTGGGCCACCATCCCCAATCCAGGTTCAGCAAGTTTGATCGATGCTATGGTGGCCCACTAAGATATCTGCGAATTTCTGAGCTAGGAAGCCCACAATATGGTTCCAAGATCATGGAGGCCGCTTGAGCACCATGTTTTCTTCACCTGCTGAACAATGTGAAATACAATACACACTGTTCAAAATGGAGCTTGAGATTAAAAGCCAATGCGTGAGGAATATGATAAGCGACGAATCGATAGGACTCCGTGCTATGCTGGGGTACCGAGTCACTAACTAGAGTGAAGATGCCACTCAGGCTAGTCATGATCCAGTCCGACTTTGATCATCTATATTTAACGAGTCGGGACCTACCTCTGCGATTTCTGGCTTCTGTTCTAGAAATATGCCATGCTATGTGAAGGTACTATATATAATCATCAACATTATAAGTTAGTCTGATTCAGACACCATTCTATTAAGAAGCTGTGCTTGACCAAGGGCCACTAGCAAGCAACCCTCACAGTTTCCAAAATGTCACAATTTGAGCCATCCCAATCTTGTCGCTGCACTCGAAGTATTCGGGTTTTTAATAGCGCAACTACAATCAACGGCTGCCGGACAGATTCTTCAGGCAACAGGCTCTTCAAAAACGCAATCTGAGCCTTACTATTCTTCACAAATAGGTCTCCAAAGTCCGGCGTAAAATCCCTGCCCCTTTTTAGAAGCACCAGTTTCTTGGGCTCCAGCACCTTATCAAAAGCATCGAGCTGCAAGTGCGTCTGCGTGGTTACCTCAGTATCAGCGACAACTATGAACAAGTACATAGGAGAGATGCGGTGAATTTATGCCCGGCCGCTACGTACTCGTCAGACTGTGGAGCCCAGTAGCTTCGTCCCATTGCATGTTACGACGTTTCATCTCGTCGACAAACAGCAACGCGTCGTGGTCCTTAAGCACAACCTTAGACGGCGGGTTAGTGATATCCTCGACCGAGATCGGGAAGACAGGCACCAACGCGGCGGAGCCACTCACGGCGGCGTGGCGGCGCCCCTGAGAGATATGGACTATCTTCATACCCGGGGTACGGCTGATGGCCTCCCCAGACACAAACGGAACTTGCAAGATAATGCCCGTGGTGCTCTTGTTGAGCATCCGCGCCAATGGCATTCCCACCGCGCATGCTGGATCCCCAATTGAATACTTTTGTCGGATCAGTCCCAGGTAGGCTAGTAGTGAACTTGAAGACATCAAACTGGTCGCACGTCTGCAGCCATGGGTCGGCTTCCTCACGAAGAGTACCCTCATTATGGCTCCAGCATCGGGTATTATATGTCAAAATACCAAAGCCGGCCGCCTTGGAACATTCTGGAAAATCAAGGAGGAAATGGATTCTAAGGTCACTATAATAAATGTGCATAAGAATGTTTCAGCATGAGAAGCAACCAATATAAGGAGAGCTTTATCGGTTCTGACTTACGCCACTGGATATGATGACGCATGGTTCTTTTCCACACGGTGAAAAGGGTTCCCCTCAGCTTCAGTCCATCATAGGTGGGGATGTCAACTTCTCTGTTCGAAGCCATCTCGAGGGCGTGTTTGAGTATGTTGAGTTGGGTGGTTAGGCAGGCCAGTAGTACACAAGACAATGCTATGGTAAAGCAATCAGCTGTGAGGGGAGATCCCAAGTCCGTGCTATGCTAAGGCTTGTGAGTTTTATAATCTGTATAGCTTATGAAAATGAATATACATGGGTGTCGACGGCAGGTGGAACTTTGGAGCCTGCCTCACTCCAGGCTTTTCAAGGGCGGCTAGGTGACGTTCCGGGACGCGGAGAAAGCCGTTTTCCCGATCCTCGTGCTTTGCTAATCTGTACGGCTGAACATAATGTGAGGGCTCTTGAAGCCACACTGCGGGGGATACCATCCCGACGCTGAAGTTCGACTCTGGGGGACCCGACCGCAGGTCTCCTCGGCATTTGGAGACACCTCGGGCCAGGAGACCGGCATTATCACGGCCGAAGTGCTAGTGTGAGCAAGGGCGGGTGTTACGTCGTGATAGAAAGGCAACGATCAGCCCATTTCCTTTTTAAGCTCAATTTGGCGTTTCCAATAGATTGGTCCAGATCGACGCCTTTAGTTAGTTGACCCACATCGCCGTGGATCGCAAGAGCTAAGGGGCTGAGCTGTGACGGTCGGGCCTACGCTAGGGGTCTAGGGTAGGTCCAAGGCGAGGAGTGTATGATCGAGTGGATCAGGACGTCGTAGTGAGCAATGTAGGTCACGGTCTGGTAATGGTAGAATAGTAGGTTTAATGTAACCAAGTGTGTTGATAGCTGGTGAGGCTATCTGTCTACGAAAGTGCTAAATGAATGTATATATATACCGCGCTATAGGTGAGGTCGAACGGTGTCGAGTCGAGTCGAATAGAGCCCGTTCGGCATGCATATGTCGGTTGGTGACGAACCGTGACGAACGGAGCCCGTTTGATATGCATAGGCGTGTCTGCAGTGATTGGTCAGGAAGAAGTGGGTACGTCTTGGTTCTGCCGGTTGTGACCGCCGGGCCCCAACCTGGGCTGTGGTATGAGCGGGGAGAACCGAGATTAGTTGGTCAAAATTACCCCAACGTTCGGCCTGATATCTTTCTTGCTTTCAGCTTCGTTCCAATTATGACACATCAATCAAACGACTTTCTCACGCTATTTTCACCGAATTGATGATCCTAGCGCCTCCATTAGTATATTAATGTGAATGCTAATTCTGAGACACATGAAGGGCTGAACCTTTTACACTGTAGCCGGCGCGGGATGTTGTTTGCGAGCAAATTTAATGATCCTTGGCTGTATTCCTCATTCCTTCCAGACCAAGTCGCGTCTGGTTGGCTAGTCACCTCGTCACGACTCGTGTCACCGAGCGCGGCTAGGCTGACTAGTAAAGGCCCTAGCAGCGGCTGATTCTGACAAGCTGGAAGGTGGCTGGGTTGCTGCAGCTTCAGGGGTGGGAGTCTAACTAAGTGAGTCGAGCGAACTAAGGCTACAGAATAGAGATAAGCTTGAGCATGTGAGAGCCTTTTGTTAGTCCTTGCTTAAATCGGCGTGAGGTAAGTTGACAGCTTGTGACTTGGATTTGTTTATGAAATTCATTTGGAAGACTACCGACTGGGTTTATATTAATAGTGATACTGGCTATGTCTGTAACTTTCTATAGGATAGGCGCTGATGTGCTGTTTGTGAATAGCCAAGTGTGTTCCCGACATATATATATTTTTTTGCCGTATATATACATGTTCGTGCGTGTGTGTGGCCCTGGGGGTAGGGGCAATAAACGAGTCAGTTCTTGATTAGATAACCAGCCGTTGAGCACAAGCTACAGCCCGATAACAAAATCTTTCGAGTTAGAGCCTTAGTAATCTGTATACCTGTTACATGGGACAAGAGCTAGGTTGACGGTTATAATTCAGTTCTAAATTGCCTATTGAATGGGCCAATTTTATTTGCTGATGTGGCGAATGTGGAGAGCAGGGATAGTGAGATATGGTCCATGGAGTCGGGAGACTCCGCAAGCATATAATTCAAAGTTGCGCCGATAAAATCTGCCGTATAGTATTTCAAGCTGCTCTAATGCCCAGAAAGTCCATGCAAGAACTCGGGGGCTTCTATGCTAAGGGATTGAATCGGACTTCGCCCCTTTAGGCATATCTGCCGGTGTGGTATTGTGGCTGCATGCTTCGTCTGAACGCTGATAGAATAACACCTAAAGTTCCAGTATCCCCGTGATAGTTTGACGCTAGTTATACAAACTGCACAAGAGCTTCGATCTTGATTAATTAATGGATCTTCAACCCTCAGATGTATGAGAAACCAGACATAGACCACTACCTCAACCGGATTCTCCAAAAGGAAATACTTGAAGAGTAAGGATCCAGGTCTGCTCCGCCTACTTGGACGATTACTTCGTTCTACATCAAGTTGAACATCGACCATTTGTTGAATGACAACCCCCAGCTTAGATCCAACTGTCGATGCACCGTCCAGATCGTAGCTCGTCATAGGGATCTCTATCTCCTTCGTGGTATTATCTGCTTCGGTCGTCGCCTCGAGGCTCTATGTTCGCATTGTTCTTCTCAAGGCCCCGGGACTCGATGACTTGGCGATTTGCGTTGCTCAGGTACAGTTCTCTTAACTAATAATACCTTATGGGAGACATGTTGACTAAAGGATTTTTGCTCAGGTCCTTGCCAATGCCGTTTCTATTTATATCAACTATATTAGGTATATCTCGTCGTTACTAATATTATTAGCAGATAGGTAGATTCTAAGCACTGTCCTAGAGGCTGAATTTGCACTTAGTCGTCATATATGGACTCTGCCGCTAGATTGTATTCTTAAATAGTTGAATGTCTATATCTGTCTCCTTAATAAAGCAGTCTTAGTCTCAGCTATTAGTAACGATTTTAGGCTCTCTATATTAATATCCTTATCTATAATTTAAAGATAAAATTTGTTAAGATTTCTTTTTTATTTTAATATTATTATATATTTTTAACTAATTGCAAGAGTTAGTATATTAGGGTGTTATAAAATTATTTAGAAGGTAGGTATTAGTATATATATAAGTATTTACTTACTAAGTATAGAGTATATATTCGGCGAGAGCTAATAGAGAGGCTAGTTATATAGCCTTAGATAAGAGGCTTAGTCTTAGCTAGGTTACTACTTTTATAATTACTTTCTTCTTATATTTTATCCTAAAGCTTTATAATATCTTATTATTTTTATTAAAATTTAATAGAAAAAAAGAGTAATAACCTTATAATATAGCAGATAATTAGAAACTCTTAAGCTAGCTAGTTACTAGTGGAAATATCTCTAGAGTAGTCTGGATAAAGTTAAAAGATGTTAGAAGTTATTAAGTAGTAAAATAAAATAGTATTATAATAAAAGAAATATTCTAATAAAGAATATAAAGTTAAGAGGTATATAAATATAAAAGGTAGATAGTATTAAATAGTATAATATAGTGTATTAATAGTATATATTAATATATAATACTTAAAATCTTAAATTTTAATTTACTTAAAGATCTCAGGCTTTTATAGACAATTTCTCTAAATCTAGCTATTATAGCTAGAGAATATATATACTATTAAATAGCCTGAAGAATTAGCTTTTAAATAGAATTAAAATTATTACTTAATATATTTTATATACTAAGATATCTAGCTTTAAAATTAACTTAATTTTAAAATAAATTAATTTTAAATTAATTTTAAATTTCTAATTATCAGGCTAATATTAATTTAACTAAAACAGTATTAATAGTATTAATAATACTATTTTTATATTATAAGAGAATTTTTTTCCTAATTTTAATAACTTTCTTTTTAATTTTAAAATTATTATAATAAAAAAGTTATTATAAATTATATAAAATTAAATATCTATTTAATGTATATAATAAGCAAGCGTTACAAATAAGTAAGTATTATACCTATACTATACAGCTAAAAGTATAAATTTTAAGTTTTCTAAAATAGGCTATTTAATTAGTAAATTTCTAAAGAATTGATTTTAGGTTTTTAAGAAAAAAGATTATAAGATAGTATTTTCTTTATATTTCTAACTAATTTATAAAGCTAGTTATAAATAAAAATAGTAAAAAAGACAGTGCGAATTTTATACTACTAGCACTATAAGTATATATAGCTTAAAGAAATTCTCAAAAATAATAGATATTATAGATAAGCTATATTTAAAATTATAGCTATTTTAAGCTTAGTTTAAGTTTTTAAGAATTATTTTAAAATTGCAATTTAAGGTGAAATCCAAGTATAATACTTACTTATTTACAACACTTACTTATTATATACATTAATAGTATTCTTATTATTATAAATAAACTTATGAAAATTTCCTATTTTATACCCTACTAGAAATTAATAGATATAAAGTAGGTTACTTATATCTTATAAAATATTATCAGTATTTATAGACTTCTAATAGAAATTCTCTCTAACTAAAAATAGCTATTTACTTTAAAGTTTTAATAAAGCTTAATAAACTATATAAAATTAAATTACTAACTTACTATAGTATTCTAAGTATAAGTTAATAAATAAATAGAATAAATAAATTAGATACTAGAATAATACCTTTAGTATTATATTAATTATAAATAAAATAACTAGATTAAAAAACTCCTAACTGTATAGCTAAGCTATAATATATTAATATATAAAAATATAAAGCTTACTCTAATATATACTAACTTTAGATTTACCTCTAATACCTACTAAATAAGCTAAGATAGATTAATTATCCTAAAGCTATTCTTATAATAGAAAAATTAAAAAATCTATATAAAGAAATAAAAACTAAACTTAAATTTATTAGAAACTAGATAAAAAAATACTATAATAAAAAAAATAAAGAAACTATTCTTTAAAAGAAGATATATTCTTCTTATAATAAAAAATATAAAATAAAATAATAAAATAAAAAACTAACTATAAATATATTAGACTCTATAAAATTCTTAAAAAAATCTTAGAAAATAACTACTATTTAAACTTATTACTAAAAGTCA